CTGCATTTCCCAGAATTCCCCAGCCAGCATGCTTTAAGATGGGTGGATGGGGGGGGGGGCAGACTTGTTCAACTGACCAGGGATAAACGTAATGTCTGACCGTCTTTAGATTCACTCCTCTCCCTCCTCTTCCTTCCTTCCTTTCAAGGGATTCCTGGCAGGTGGGGGCCACCATGGTGAAGATCTTCGTTGGGGGGCTTTCTCCTGTGGTCACAGCCGAAGAGCTGCGGAAGCTCTTTGAGCAGTACGGCCAAGTCAACGAGTGCGACATTTTGAAGAATTTTGCCTTCGTCCACATGGAGAAAGAGGACGAGGCCCACCAGGCCATCAGCACCCTGCACAAGAGCGAATTCTACGGCACCCACTTGACTGTGGAATACGCCACCTCCAAGATCCGCAACGCCACCAAGATCTACGTGGGGAATGTCTCGGCCAAGGCCACCACCGCCCAGATCCGCCAACTCTTCGAGCGCTTCGGCAAAGTGGTGGAGTGCGACATTGTCAAGAACTTCGCCTTTGTCCACATGGCCAAAGAGCGGGAAGCCATGGACGCCATCTTGCATCTCAACGACACCCCACTGGAGGATCAGAAAATTTTTGTCACCCTTTCCAAGAGCAATAGTTCCCTCCGGGCCACCAAAGGGGCCTCTGTGCCCACCCCACCCACCCCGACGTCCAGCTACTACTTCTCCAGGGGACGCGTGCCCACAGCGCCAGCCACCTATTCGCCCTACTGTGCCCGTGGCTGGTACGATCGGGAGTATTGTGATCAGTACACATACGAGCTCTACGACCGAGCGCGGGCGGCATACGACCGAGCCCTCCCCTCGGCCCCAGCGGCCTACAGAGAAAGGAGCCCCGTGGGGCGGAGGACATCTACCCCTACTGCCGTAGTGGCCCAATACGCTGACCCTTATGCTGCGGTGGCGGCTGCAGCGGCTGCCGCCATGGCTGCAGCAAACCAGACTTACAGCCAAGCCTACAGCCAGCCCGGATACGCCGCCGCCGCCACGTCAGCTGCTGCCACATACTCTCAGTACGGTCTAGGAACTGCCTACAACGTGGCAGAGTACTACGAGAGGTACGCCAGCGCTTACGCTGACCAGTATGCCCAGACGTTCTGAGGGCGCTGCACCCTTCCAGTTGTAAGTGTTCAGAGCTGCTCGGTTGCACGGGGGATGCAGGGAAGGGAGGCGGGAGGGAGGGAGGGAGGGACGAGGGTACGCTGTCCCTATGGGGGAAAAAGAAAAGACAAGGCTGATCTTTGTGGACCAGCAGGGGGGGATGGTTCCGTACAAGTGGTGGGCACGCGCACGTGGGCCTGAATGAAACCCATCGGTGGAAATGGCAGGCACACCTGTCCGCCGCTCGCACCAATGCAGCAACATGCATATTGAATCGCTTGCGTGCTGCTGGCACAAATGGCGATATGCGCGCATGGCCTCCTGCCACTTCCGCGGCCCAGTTCCCAAACGGCTCAAGGCCCAGGAGTTGGGGGCCTCTGATCTAGGAGGGAGAGCAGCAAAGCCCCCCCCCCCCAAGGCAGCGTGTTTATACCCAGCCTGCTTGTGGGTCCACATTCGTGTCCAGCCTCTGCCCAGGAAGGGAGCCCCCCGGTTATTTTGACCCCCTTCTCCCCATGTCTGGGCAGAAATGCCTCGATTTACAACCCTAAGCGAGTCCCCAGATGCCATAACTAAGCAAGGCAGTTGTTTTAAGTGAGCTGGGCCCCATTTTATGACCACGTTGGCCACTGCAGTTGTTTTTTTTTAAAAAAAGCATGCGATCATTCCATGAAACTGGCTTCTCCCATTCACCTGCTGGGAAGGTTGGAAATGGTGGCCATCCATCAACCAGGGGTCTCCAACCTTGGCAACTTGAAGCCTGGCGGACTTCAACTCCTTCAACTGGCTGGGGAATTCTGGGAGTTGAAGTCTGCCAGGCTTAAAGTTGCCAAGGTCGGAGGCCTCTGCTCTAAACCATCCTAAACGTAGGCCGGATACTGTAACCATCATAAGTTTAACCCTCATAAATACAGGCCAGATGTCAAGCCCTGGGATTTTGATCATGTAACCCTGGGGATGCTGCAACGGACATGTGAAAACCGGTCATAAGTCCGGGTTTTTCCCCAGTGCCGTTGTAACATTGAATGGTCATTAAAGGAACGGTTGTACGTTGAGAGTAGAGGTCCTGGCTGAGGGAGCACTGTAGTTCAATCGTTTCCAGAAGATTCTAGGTTCTCCCCTCTTGTTCCTGCTCCCCCCACCCCACCCCTATGTGGTATCCCACAAGCAACCACTTTGTTTCCAGATAGACACAATGGTGGGTGTAACAACCAGTTCGGTGAGAGCGCGAGGCTGACTAATCGCCAGAACTACCGGTTCACCCGAACAGCTGTGAACCGGCTGAATGCCACCCCTGGGCAAAGTGTGATTTCTGAGGTCGATGCACGCTTCTCGCGATCCAGGTGTACCCCCTAAACTATGTAGATTTCTTTACAGGCTCTTTCCCTGGGCAGAGTCGGAGCGATGTCTCATGGCCAACCCGCTGAGCACTGACTTCCAAGGTTGGTGATGCTGCATTTTGTGTGTCCCTCCTTTCCTCCCCTCCCCCCCTTCCTTTCTCTTCCTTTCCTTCTTTCCTTTCCCCCACGTTTCGATCCGATCCGGTCGAAGAACTGCCACGCCAACCCCGCCTTGCGAAACTGCGATGGGGGCCGAAGACGGTGTTGTCCGTTGTCTGGTTTTTCTTTCCCCCCCCGAACTCTTCCCTCCGGCACGGAATGCCGCACACACCTTTGCACACAACGGCTCCTCCCCTTCCGCCAGCTCCAATCTTTGCTTGCTGTGTGTTTTGCGTGCTACGCTTCGATCCCTGCCGCCGCCGCCGCCGTCGCCACGATGCCAGCCTCTCTCAACCAGGCTTTCGGGGTGGGGCGGGTGGGTAGGGATTTATGATTATGATTATGATTTTTTGCTTTGCTGGTTTGATCGATGCCTTTTTTGTTTTTCTCCCGTTGATTTGTTCTCGTTTTTAAGTTTGTACAACCGGTTTAAATGAAACGGGTTTGTTGGCGGCAAGTTGTTTAGCTTCCCTCTCCCTGGTTTTTAAGATGTGAACGATTAAACGTCTTTCACAGAAGCTCCCGCGTCCGCCTCGTCAAATGTGTGTTCCGATCGCCCCCCAACCCTTCCTCGCCGCCTCGACCCGGCTTCTCCTCTGCCGCCTGCTGCCCACTTCCTGTCTGCATGGGACGCCACGATCCGGATTTGCCGTAGTCGGCGCCCGCCTTTCACTTGCTCCTGCCGCCTCCGCCGCCCTCCTCCCCTTTGCTTTCCAGAAAGGAGGGCCCCATCCTTCCCCCGCTGGGGGGGGGGCTGCTCTCGTCACTAACCCCCTCCCTCCCCGGCAGGGAGAGTCGGCCAAACCGTTGCACAAGCCGTGTGCGCGATTGCCAGATTCCGTCGCTTTTTGGCTTTGAGACTAACCGAACACTTGCCAGGCCACTGATGTTGTTTATCCCTGTTCCTCCCCCCACCCCACCCCCATTGATTTCTCTTTCTCTGTGGACAGCTGTTTCTGGAAGAAGCCAGGGACTTTGGAGACCCCCTCCCCATCTTCCAAGCAGGCAGAGCTGATCCGACACCACACGGCGCAAGATGCTGCTTCATCTACCCAAGGGGGAAAATATCCTGTCACACCCTTTAAAATAGGCACCAGAAAAACACCCGGGGTGTTGTGAAAAATGGCCGTTCATCTCTTGGGTTCTTGATGTTCTCGGAGCTCAGAGAATACCATGATCCAACGGTTCCGTGTTTACAGCTCTTCCCCGACAGTTGGGATTTGCTGGTTTTGCATCCTGTATCGATCCCTTCCCAAATCAGTTATGAGCCACGGTGGCACAGTGGTTAGAGTGCGGTACTGCAGGCTACTTCTGCCAGCTGCCTGCAATTTGGCAGTTCAAATCTCACCAGGCTCAAGGTTGACTCAGCCTTCCGTCCTTCCGAGGTGGGTACAATGAGGAGCCAGATTTTGGGGGCAAGGACTGACTCTGTAAACCGCTTAGAGAGGGCTGTGAAGGCACTGTGAAGTGATATAGAAGTCTAAGGGCTATTACTATTTTCCTTCCTTCCTTCTTTCCTTCCTCCCTCCCTCCCTCCCTCCTTCCTTCCTATTAGAATGCAGTACTGCAGACTAACTCTGCACACTGCCAACAGTTTGTTTCTGACCAGCTCAAGATTGACTCAGCCTTCCGTCTTTCCGAAGTGGGTAAAATGAAGAGCCAGATTGTTGGGGGCAAGAGAGGGCTATGAAGGTATATAAGTAAGTGCTATTGCTATTTCCTCCCTCCCTTCCTTCCTTCCTTCCTTTTAGAATGCAGTACTGCAGGCTAACTCTGCACACTGCCAACAGTTCGATCCTGACCAGCTCAAGGTTGACTCAGCCTTCCGTCCTTCCAAGGACCCAGATCATTAGGGGGAAATAGGCCGACTGTGTAAACCGCTTAGAGGGGCTGGCAAGCACTGTAAAAATGGGATACAAGTCTTAAAAATAAAGCCGCGCAAATGGGAGATCAAGGGAGTCCTCACCTTATGACCACACTTGAGTCCAACAGTTGTTGCTGAGTGAGACAGTGGCTCGGTGAACTTTGTCCGCTGTTAGCGATCCTCGTTGCCGCAGCCTTGAAAGGAATTCTGTTGTTGTGAAATGAGCAACGTGGCTGTTAAATAAATCTGGCTTCCCCATTGCTTGCCAGAAGGTTACCAAAGGGAAACACCTCACCCTGCAACTGTCATAAGTCCATGCCAGTTGCCAAGCCTCTGAATTTGGATCACATGACCCCAGGGATGCCGCGATGGCCGTGTGAAAAGGGGCCCTTAAATCACTTTTTGCCAGTGCTGTTGTAACATCGAACGGTTGCAAGTTGAGGACGTTGGAGATCCAGGCAGGCGGACCGACAGCTGGCATGGGATTCTGGGAACTGAAGTCCCAAACTTTTGGATTCCTTTCAGAGGACAGGAAGCTGCTTTATAGTGCAAAATGATTTCTACTTCCTTCCTTCTGTTCCAAGGAAACAAACACCAGATGGAGGTAACAGCAAAACCTTTTAATGATTTTTTACGAATTCTGTTCCTTCATGGTTAAAACTCATTGTCTCTGATAAGAACGAGCCTTGCCAAGGTTATGCAAGACCGCCAAGAACACTAGATAAAGTTGCTAAGAAAGATTTCAAACACAAAAAAGTCTCCAAACACAAACTAAGAGAGTCCAAACATTCACAAGGCTTGAGTGCAAAAACTTCTTTGCTTCCTGCAAAGAACTCTGGTTTCTCAGCTGGCTTTTATCTCTTCAGGGAGGGGCCATCACCTTGCAGCCTTACTCCCGAGTCGCCTGTGCTGCTGCAGCTGCTCTTTCCTTCGAGCAGCTCTGCACGCACACGCCCTGGGCACAGGCTCCTCGGGGACCTTTTCATGACTGCTGGTGACTGGGTGACTTAATAAAGGAGATTTGGGTATGGTGGGGGCAACTGGATAGCCACACACAATTTCTGCCACTGCACCTTCCCCAGGTCCCATAGGGAGGCTGGCTGCCTATAGTTGGAGGAGGAAGAGGAGGAAGGATGGAGAAGCGAGAGGGGCACAGGGGTGGCTGTTTTACTGTCCTTCAGCTGCCAACTTTTAGCCTGATCCAGGCAGTCCTCGATTTATGACCACAATTGAGCCCAAACTTTCCATTGTTAAGCGAGACACATGTGAATGTTTGCCTCCACTGACTATCTCTCTGGCCACCGTTGTTCAGTGAGTCATTGCAGCTGATTAAGTTAGCAATATGGTTGGCTTCCCCAATGGCTTTGCTCGTCAGGTGGTCACTAAAGAGAGAACACATGACCCCAGGATGCCACGACCGCCATAAAAGTGAGTCTTGCTCAATGTCCGAATCTTGGGATCGTGAGGATGTGCAACGGTCGTAAGGGTGAAAAATGGCCATAAGTCACCTTTTTCGGGGTTGTGTCTTTGAACGGTCACTAAGTGAGCTTATAAGTCAAGGATTGTCTGTAGTTTCACACATTGGGGGCTGTGTCCGAAGGGTCAGAGACCCTATTCGCACAACCTATAGCCAAGGGCAACCAATCTAGTGTCTCCATTGAATTAAATTTTAAATGGCGCTAAGCAGCCATTTTGTAAAACACTTGTGCCCATTTTTTGAAATGAGGATGTAGTGATGTCCCCAGCCCCGGGCTGCCAGATGTGCTACGATGCCCAAATAGGGGAATTCTGGGAGTTGTAATCAGAATAACAGAAGGGACCCCAGAGGTCTTCTAATCTAACCCCCTGCTGAAGCAGGAGACCCAATATCATTTCAACACATTGGTTGTGTTCTCCACGTCCTTAACCAGGTAGGTACCTTACCTGCATTCGCAGAGAATCTCAGATAAATTTCATCTCGGTTTGTTTTCATGAGCTTTGGAGGGTCCAATCGATAGTTTATGGCTCAGGAGAGTGTGCGAAGCCCCCAAATGGGATATGGATTTATTCTTGTTTGACTCGAAGATTCTGAGCAGTTTAACAGCATATAAAATGTCCAACGAAAACAGGAAGAGTCCAAACAGGTTTTCTAGGCTAGGGGTCTTCCAATTTAGCAACTTTTAAGATTTGTGGACTTCAACTCCCAGAATTCCCCAGCCAGCGCATGCTGGCTGGGGAATTCTGGGAGTTGAAGTCCACAGGTCTTAAAATTGCCAAGATTGGACACCCCTGTGGTAAAGTCACCCCTTTCAACGCTGTCAAGATTGACGCCGGCAAGACTCTCTCCAATGCACTTTCTCTTCTCTTTTTTCCCTTCCCTCATGATTAAAGGATTCCGTTTTTCTGCCTCATTCCTCTAAACCTGTCAGGGTGGTGTGGTGTGTGTGTTTTTTTTAAGCTGACTTTGCATTGGTAGTGCAACTCTTCCCGATGTTCCTTTTTTATTATTCGATTTTCCTTTTTGAGTTTTTGTATCATTGGGTGCATCTCTCCATCCTTCGGAAACTATCTGCACATCCCTTCCCCCCAAAAGAGGGAGATTTGGGAGACGTTGAAGTCCACAAATCTTAAATTTTAATCTTAAAAATTTAAATTAAATTTAAATTAAATTTAAATCTTAGAGTTGAAGTCCACAAATCTTAAAGTTGTCAAGGTTGGACACCCCTGCCATAGGGAGTCCCGGGTACCAGATTTTGGGTTCATTCTGTAAGTTGGTCCATTTGAAGTTTGCCGGTTCAAAAATGATTGCTGTAGGATGCACCGATTTGCCCAGTTGAGGGTGACAAACCAGCACGAGAATTTTTAGTACAGGTATTCCTTGACTGACAACCACAATGGAGCCCAACATTTAAGTGAGACATTGGTGAAGTAAGTTTTTGCCCCATTTTATGGCCTTTCTTGCCATCGTTGTTATATGAATCACCAGAGTTGTTAAATTAGTAACATGGTTCTTAAATGAATCTGGCTAATCACCATTATGTCAACTCATAAAATATTTCTAGTAGTTGCTATTAAAAAAAGGGGGGGGGGGGGAGGAAATCTGGAAGAGCAATGTAGCAGTTTGGAAGCAGAAGTATAATCCAACTCTCCTCTTTAAAAGGCTGTAACTACCAGAGATTTTGCCCTGAATATATTTAATTGGAGAATGTGATTGATGACACCCAACCCGTGAAAGTGCTTAATTGGAGAATGTGATTTATGACACACCCGGGGGGAGGGGGGGGAACAGGGTCACAGGGGACTGGAAATTATGTCTGCCAGAGTTCGCTTCATACAGGGCAGTGCCAGTATGTTGCCTCTAATAAATCCTTTGAAGTTTTTTGAAGTTTGACTCGAGAATCATGATTTCATTAGGGCGATTGCTGGAATCCTGACACATTGAATAATAAACTTTCCCTTCACGTCCGATCTTTGATTTGAAATTCAAGGATTATTGTCCTGAATTCCACTTTTTTGGCCCAGGCCAAAAAAGAGAGAGAGAGAGAACCAAGCATGTTATAATGTTCAAAGAGATTGAACAGCTTGGAATTTGGGCAGGGGGTGTCCCAACACACTTGGGGAAGGCAACCGAATTGCCTTAAACTGTAAGATGGGCAGCAAATAAAATGGACAAGTTTCATTACCTCAGGAACGCTACAGGAGGAAAGGAGATCCATGAGGTTCACAGCCCTGTAAGGTGGCCTTCCGATCCCCACATCCTGCACCTGCAGCCCTGAGACCAGGGAGACGAGTTTCACAGCCCTGTGTGATCACCCCAGCCCAGTCCGTCATAAACCAAATTATTGATATTTCTTGAAGTGACACACGACCCGAGGAAGGCTACACTTTTTCCCGATTTTCGACACACCAAGCTGAAAAGGTTAGCCATCACTGCTTTAAGGTTTTAACACGGTAGAGAGTTGAATCAACTGAATTCTGCATTCAGACCAACTCCTGCGTGAACCGAAGCCCTTTCGGCCAACCCCCTTTCTCAGCCCTCTCCGAAGGGGAAAAGAGGTCCCAAGATTATTTTTCACCCGGGTTTAACTTTCCAAATCCGGGATTGAGGGATGGAGGACTGGAAAAGGCCCAAAATGCACAACTAAAGTCAAGAATTCAGCTGCAGTCCTTTGGAAGAGGAAAAAAAAATGTACAAACTTATTTTACAACATGGGAAAACAAAAACGGCCTTGGAAAAGCCGTCAGCCTGAAACCCGGGTCTGTTGGCAGCAAGAAATAAATACAAGCGTTCGCGGCGGATCGGGAGTCACAGTTCCAGATGCTTCAAATGTTGCTGGAAGATTTCTTCCGCCCTCTGAAGGTATTCTGCAGTCTTCTTCTTCACCGCTTCCCTGCGGGCTGGGTTTGGATCGCCTGCAAACGGGAAGACATATTGGATGCCATTTGGGTGGCTCTCATTTGGACCCTGGAACCCTCCTCTTTTAACAACCCCCATATAATCCCTTGCGGGGTGGAGTCTGGGCAACTGAATAGAGCGAGCAGAGTGTTTACTGGCCGGATGCCCTTCCTGTTGCCATTGCGGAGTTTTGTTCAGCAGAGATATATTCTCATTGTGCCCAGAGAGAGAAATATCTGACCTGGCAACCCAAAATTGTCGGCGCGCAAGAATATTACTGGAGAGCACGATTGACGGCTCTTGGCTATGGATGTGTCCCATTGGAGAATATTCATCCAGGGGGCGTGGGAAAGACCAGGGTCAAGGGGGAAATGAAGGGTGTCTTTTAGCATCGGCCGCATCCAGCCAACACGTCCACTTCTAATAAATCCGTTTTCTTTTCTCTGAGATATGGCTAGAGACTTATGATTTGAATGGGGGTGGGTTTCTTGGAGGTCAGGCCAACAACTCGGGATGACAGCGCCCCACCCCTCTTCACAAGGCACAGGGAAGGGAAGTTTGAACTCTCCGCTGGCTGTGTGGCCTTCGGGCCTCGTCCCGGGTCATCACACGGCACCCTCTTCAGGGACCAAACTCTCCCCACTTTGGGAAAAATCCCAGAAGCCGAAGACACCTGCTCCCCCCGCCCCCAAAAACTCAACCTACCTTGCAGACCCTGAAGGAGCAAGTCAACTCCACCGCGGTAGCCGTGAAAAGCCCCCTGGAAGTCTCTGGAGGCTTCGCACAACACGGCTTGCCGAATCCGCTCGATCGCCTGGGGCAGATACCTGCTGGGATCCGACGAGGAGGCGCTTTCTACCTCGGGCTTCTGCGTCGGGTCCGCGCTGAGCAGGGCTTCTGGTTTGGTCTCTGAGGCCTCCAGAGAAGCCAGACCTTCCCCAAGGGAGAGGCTGGTGGCAGTAGAAGAAGCTGGGCCGGAAGGAAAAGAACGGATGGGCAGGTGCTCAACTGGCTAAAGTTTAGTTTAAGTGTAAGTTTTAGTTTAGTTTAGTGTCATTGCACCTCGTACAATGAAATTAAATACTATCTTCAGTGTACATGATGACTATGAAAATAAACCCAAACACACATCCATCACATTCTATACAATTGACTTGAAAACTTCTGATATTGCATTAATATTGCACTCTACAATAGAATTTAGTGGAGTTACTGCCCTGGGATAGAAGCTGTTTTTCAGCCTGTTTGTCCTTGTTTTTATTATCCGGCAACGTCTGCCAGATGGTAATAGTTAAAAAAAAGGTGTGCCCAGGATCTGTGAGAATGTTTTGAACTTTCTTAAGGCAGCGAGAGCCGTAAAGCTCTTCCAAAGAGGGGAGAGGGGCAACCCATGATCCTCTGAGGGGCAATGACATTCACCCTCTGGAGCGCCGTCCTATCTGCCCCTGTGCAACTGGTGAACCATACAGAGGTGCAGTAAGTTAAGATGCTCTCAGCGGTAGAAGGTCACCAGCAGTTTTTCATTCGGTTTTAAAGAAGAAGCTGGCCAGAAGATCAACAAAGATGATAAATGATCTGGAGGCTAAATCGTATGAGGAACGATTGAAGGGAACTGGGTACGTCTGGTCCAAGGTCTCCAAACTTGGTGGCTTTAAGACTTGTGGTCTACAACTTCCAGGAATTCCCCATTCAGGATGGTTGAAGTCCAATTCTGGGAGTTGGAAGTCCACAAGTCTGAAAGTGACCATGTTTGGAGAGTCTGGTTAGTCTAACAAAGAGACAATGAGGGAGGACATGATAGATATGACTTCTAATACTTGTATCATGCCCCTGTTGGAGTCTGAATCCGAGGAGGAAGACGAACAGCCGACAGAGAGTGGGAGTGTGGCTCCGTTGGCTGTGGAGGAAACTGGGGAAGGGCAAAGTCCGGCTGGGCAGAGCAGGGAAGAGGTAGAACAAGGGAGATGGAGTTCAGAGGAAGACCCAGGCCCACCTTCTCTTCATCCTAGGGTGCACAGGGAAGAACAGAGAAGAGAGCAACATGGGTTGCACGGCTTACAGGGGAGGAAAAGGCCCTGATTCCCTTCCTTAACCACAGCTGGGGATGAGAGTTTAAAAGAGATGCATGCTGAGAGCAGTGTTTTCTGGGAGCAAACACGAGTTTATCTTGTATTGACTTTGTTGACCACGTTTTGGACTTGATTCTCTGCAGCCCAAGGCTGTTCCTGGGAGAGTTTTTCTCCAGCCAGAAAGTATCCAGGACCTTGGGGGCAAAGTTGGAGCTAATAAAGGGACTCATTAGTTAACTGACTGTGTTGCCCTTGTGCCACGCCCCTTTGGGTCATCACACTTGAGGGGCTGTCACAGACCAGACTTAATCCCCAAAGCACTTGAGGCTGGGACAAAAAATATCGGATGGAAACTTATCACGGTGAGATCCAACCTAGAACTAAAGTGAAATTTCCTGACAGTGAGAACAATTAACCAGTGGAATGGCTTTTGCCTTCAGAAGTTCTGGATGCTCCGTATCACCGGAGACTTTCCAAAATAGATGGTAGAAGGTCTCCTGCCTTGAGCAGGGGTTAGACTACAAGACCTCTGAGGCCCCTTCCAGCCCTGGGGTTCTATGCCCCATGGGGAGATTCCACCCCTATCAGTGTCTTGGCTCACAGGCCACCATGGCTGTGCATGGAGAGGAGCAGTGGTAGGATTCTATCAGTTTCCCTACCGGTTCGATGATCGCAGACTTCCCGCGTACGCATGTGCACGCACCTATTGCGCGCAGCTTTCCAAGCACCAGCTGAGGCGAGAATAAGGAACAGAAAAGCTCAGGGGCCGGTAGGACGGCCGATCTCCTCTCATTGTCGGAGCTTTTTCCGCTACTGGTTCGGGTAAACCGGGCTGAACGGTAGCATTTCGCCACTGGAGGAGACGTTCATCTCCTACCTACCTTCTTTGGAGAAGGGGTCAAAGAGGGCTAATTCTTGGACCGATAAGAGGCAGTGAGAAGGCGAGTCATTCTTGGCTTCTTCCTCCTCTTCCTCCCGGAAGGCAAAGAGGGCATCTAGATCTTCCTCTCGTCCCACAGCATCAGAGGCCCCCTCTGTGGTAGAAGCATCGGTCACTAGAAGCAGAAGCACAACTTCTAAGTAAACTCCCATGTTGGGTGGAGATTATGGAACCTTAAGATTAGGTTCCCAAATGGCTGCAGGCATGCAATTCATCAGACCAAAATGTTGGCAACTTTTAAGATGGGTGGACTTAAACTCCCAGAATTCCCCAGAGAGAGAAAGAAGACAGAAAAAAGGAAAAGGAAGGAAGGGAAAGAGAAGGAAGGAAGGGGAAGGAAAGGAGAAAAGGAAGGAGAAAAAGAAGGAAGGAGGGAGGGAAGGAAGGAAGATAGAGAAAGAAGGAAGGCAGAAAAAAGGAAAAGGAACAAAGGAAGAGAGAAGGAGGGAGGGAGGGGAAGGAAGGGAGAAGGAAGGAGAAAGAAAGGCAGAAAAAAGGAAGGGAGAGGGAAGGAAGGAAGGTGAAGGAAAGAAGGAAGGAGAAAAAGAAGGAAGGAGGGAGGAAGGATAGAGAAAGAAGGAAGGCAGAAAAAAGGAAAATAAAGGAAGAAAGAAGGAGGGATGGGAGGAAGGGGAAGGGAAGGAGAGAAGGAAGGAGGGAGGGAGGGAGGGAAGGAAGATAGAGAAAGAAGGAAGGCAGCAAAAAGGAAAAGGAACAAAGGAAGAGAGAAGGAGGGAAGGGAGGAAGGGGAAGGAAGAGAAAGAAAGGCAGAAAAAAGGAAGGAAGGGAAAGAGAAAGAAAGAAGGGGAAGGAAAGGAGAAAAGGAAGGAGGGAGGGAAGGAAGATAGAGAAAGAAGGAAGGCAGAAAAAAAGGAAAAGCAATGAAGGAAAGAAAAGGAAGGTAGGGGAAGGAAAGGAGAGAAGGAAGGAGAAAGAAAGAAGACAGAAAAGAGGAAAAGGAATTAAGGAAGAGAGAAGGAGGGGAGGAGGGGAAGGAGAAAGGAAGGAGAAAGAAAGAAGACAGAAAAGAGGAAAAGGAAGGAAATGCTACTTTCATCCTTTCTCATTTTGGAATCAAGAGCCTTAAGGGGGTACCTTGGTTCTCCATTTGGGCCTCAGCGACACCATCTTTATTGGCTGCCTCCGGCTTCGGCTCCAGCAGCCCATCCTCCTGAACCAGCCCCAGAGCCTCCTCGCCCTGTTCGACTCCTGCCGCGGGCACGGGGATGAGAGGGAGGGGTAGCGATGGCGACTCCAAGTGCCTGGGACAACTCTGCCCCTCTCCGCCCTGAAAAGACACAGCAGCCAGGGAACCGAGTCGCTGAGTTTGCCTTCTACTGGATTTGGGCACAAAGGGGTGTCAAAACTGTAGGTAGTCCTCGACTTACTCCCATAGGGAATAAAGAGTGAAAGGGGAGTGGTGTTTGCAGGAGGCTATTAGTTCGTTTAATTAGTGTGAAGATTTGTTTGTGACTCTCAGAGGCTCTTTTTGCCAAGTATTTCCTTGTACAGCGTTGTGCTTGGAAAAGTGGTGGGATTCAAACATTTTTACTACGGGTTCTGTGGGCGTGGCTTGGTGGGCGTGGCTGCAAAATCCCCATTCCCTCCCCACCTCACTAACCTGCTTTCCAGTTCCGTTCTCCTGGGAAGGGCAATCAAAGGAGGCCCAGCCAATCAACTGGGACTCAATGGGAGGCGGAGCATAGATGGGGTGGGGCCAGTCAGAGGTGGGATTTTCCGGTTCTCTGAACTACTCAAAATTTCCACTACCAGCTCTCCAGAACTGGTCAGAACCTGCTGAATTCCCACCTCTGACTTGGAAACTATCGGCCTGGCAACTCTCCAAGCCCGATAAAGGTCTGTGGTCGTAATTCACTCTTGAAAGACGGTTTGCAGGGACTTTGCTGGATGTGGAGGCTAGGAATTCACATTATAGCCTAATAAAAAGAGGTTTTGTCGGGACGAGGAATCTGCTTCCTGATTTTGTGAAACCTGGCTCAGAACAGCCAGCCTGGCAAGCCACCATTGCGCAACGCACAGTCGCCCCCCCCCCTCCCCCCCCCCCCCCAACGTGGCTCTTGTTCCAAAATAAAACGCAGAATAAATAAATGAAGGTACCCGGAAGAATTCCTTCAGCTGGGGGCTGTTATTTAAGGCCGGGATGTGTACGGTGAAATGCAGCATATCTTCCGC